CAGATGGCTTATTTACAATTTACATACAGGTGGTTTTTTACATACAGATGGCTTATTTACAATTTACATTTTAGATTTCGTTCTAATACATCCTAACCGGACATTTAAGACATACCAAGTCTACAGATATACAGTTAGTAACAGAGTCTAAAATGCGAGTATATACATAGATGGGGGGGGGAAGCTGTCCATTGTACGACAGGTTGAGATTTGTACCATTACCGGGGCCAGTTTTGCAATGCTTTCCCCCGAAGGTGCTCTTTAAGAGAGGTTTTGAAGGTAAGTATAGTTTTACTTTCCTTTACAGTTGTGGGAAGAGCGTTCCACCTTGATGTGGCATAATTGCGAAACGTGTATTCCCCCTTTTTTGTGCCAAATCTGGGTTTTACATGATTTGTGGAGCTCCCTCTGGTGTTATGATCATGGTATTCCTTGACCTTTGGGAAGAATGTTGACATGTACATGGGTACCATAGAGGTGTAGTGGATCTTGTAGACCAGGCCCATTGCAAGTAGCTGTACTCTGTCGTCTACTCTAAGCCATCCTAGGTTGTCAAAGTGGGCAGAGGTGAGGTGGGTTCTAGATGAAAGGTCAAGCAGTAGTCTGACCAGTTTATTTTGCGATGTTTGAAGTTTTGTTTTTAGCGCCTTGGAGGTGCTATGGTACCATGACGTGCAAGCATAGTCATAGTACCCTTGAATGAGTGCTCCTGCCAGAGTTTTCAGGGTGTTTTTGTTTACCAGAGAGGAGATCCGGTATAGGAATCTAGTTCTTTGATTGACTTTTTTTATTACATTGGATGCCATTTTGTCACAGGAGAGGTTTGCCTCAAGAATAGATCCTAGGTATGTAATTTCCTTCTTACTTGTGACAATACTGTCACCCACTGCAACTGAGAAGTCGTCGGATTTGCTGAGATTATGTTTCGAACCGAAGAGAATGGACTCTGTTTTACCCAGGTGTAATGATAATTTATTATCGGCGAGCCAGGTGCAGATTCTGCCGAGCTCGGAGCTGAGGGTTTTTTCAACCTGCAATCTGCTCCTGTCAGAGACCAGCAGGGCTGAGTCGTCCGCGAACAGGAACAAGTTGCAGTCACATGCTGATGACATGTCATTTGCATAAATTAGGAACAGTAACGGACCTAATATGCTTCCTTGTGGAACACCACAGCTCACTGGGAGGGGGGGGGACAGAGTACCGTTTACCTCCACCATCTGTTCTCTCCCCTCCAGGTAGGATTGCATCCAGCTCACCGATAGTTTATCAAAACCAATTGCTTTTAGCTTGTCAATCAGAATGGGGTGATTGACAGTGTCGAAAGCCTTTTGTAGGTCCAGCATCACCATGCCGCAGTATTTACCCTCGTCCACCTCTTGTTTGATGTGGTCGTTCAAATAAAGAAGGCATGTGTCAGTGGAGTGGGATGTTCTAAAGCCAGATTGAAATTCATAGATTAGTTTCTTTTCTGCGAGGTACTTTTCGACCTGTTCATACACTATTTTTTCCATGACTTTCGAGATGGAGGTAAGTATAGAAACAGGGCGGTAGTTGCCTGGGTCCAATTTGCTGCCCTTTTTGTGCAGGGGGGTTACTCTTGCAATTTTGAAGTCTTTGGGTACTTTTCCCTGTTTTATGGAGAGGTTAATTATGTGAGCTATGACTGGTGAGATGGCGGTTGCTGTGTCTCTGAGGAATTTGGAGGGGATATTGTCGTGGCCAGTGGCCTTGTTAGGTTTGAGGGCGCTCAGTTTAATGAGTACCTCTGCTGTTGTTACCCTTGCTAGACTGAAATCATCTTTGCGTACCCCTAGGTTTTTGTAGTAGGTCATGATGTGATCTACTCCAAAAAGCCCTGAGTGGGAGGGTAATTTATTTACAAGAGTTGTGGCTATGTTTGTGAAAAAAATGTTCAAGTACTTGGCCACATCCAGTTTGTCTGTGATGAGCCTGTTATCTGTCTTTATGTTTACGTTTGAAAATCTCGTTTTGAGTTTTTACTGCAGCCAAGCTGGTTATTGAGTAATTTCCAAAGTTCACGGGGTTTATTTTTGTTTTCCTCAGTTTTGTCATTGATGAAATTCTTTTTGGCAGTTTTGATCATGGAGCTTACGTCATTTCTTAGTCTGTTTCTTTCAATTTTTAGTTCAGTCACGTGGGCCTGGAGTTCACTGCTCGTGCTTTTGGAAAGCATTGACTGACTTTTATGAAACTCAGAGCATTTTTTGTCTCTGGTTTTCATGGCGGTCAGTATGCCGGAGTGCATCCACGGCTCAGCGCGATTTTTTACCCTGGTTGTTCTTAGGGGGGGCCAAATCATTGAGTATTGCAGAGAATTTGTTTTTGAAACCAAGCCATGTTTCTTCAACTTGTGTACCACTGAGCTCATCTGACCAGTCCAGGCTCTCCAGTTCTCGGTTAAAGGCCTCGCTAGAGTAGTTTTTGAGGTCTCTAGATATGACTGTTTTGTGACAGCCGGCCTTTTGTTTTAGCTTTTTGCGGGTACAGAATATCATATAATGATCACTTAAACCGCATGCTATAACCCCTTTACTGGAGATCCTGGACCTGTCAGAGGTCAGAATGAGATCAATGGTAGTTTGTGTTGTTTCACATACCCGGGTGGGTTGGGTGATTAGCTGGCTGAAGCCGTGCAGATCACAAATCCTACTGAAGGACTTGAAGACGGACGTGTCTTTACGTTGCATATCCGTGTTCCAGTCTCCAATAATAATTGTCTCTACATCCCCCACATCAGCCAAACACCCATCTAATGTATCATAAAAGTCACTCTGTTCCGGTGGTCTATAGATTGTCCCGACTATTACAGATTTAGCATTGTCAAAAAGAATTTCAACCCACACAGATTCAATATTTTCATGATGCAGGTCAGTACGGTTTTTGAAATTGGTGTCTTTATGTATGTACATGCAGACACCACCTCCATTCACGTTCCTGTCCCTTCTCACTACAAGATAATCTTCAATTTCAATCTCTGAATCTGTAATGGAATTGTCCAATTTGGTCTCAGAAAAGCATAATATGCTTGCCTTACCGTTCATGAACAGTTGCCTGAGTTCAGCCAGTTTGTGTCTCAGGCTGTTAGTGTTCAGATGAAAAATATGTAGTCCATTTTTGTTGTTTAAATGCATAATGTCGTCAGCTTGCAGATATTTGTCTTTGTCCGTTACAGCAAACGGCTTGCGGCCTGCCGTGGTGCTTGGAGCGGTGGGGTGGTGGGGGGAGGGAGGCTCCGTTGTAGCTTTAGCCGTCGATATGCTAGCAGGGTGGCTAACAACATGGTGGATATTTGTTCCCTCGGATCTCGGTTCTCTTCCTCTCGTCACTGCCTCATGCGTGTCTGTCTGCCGAGGCGTCCCCGGGGGAATGTCGAAGTCTCCGTTGATTCCTCGGTCTCCGCTGTCTCCATGGTCTCTGTTGTCGTCTCGTAGTTGTTGCTGTAGCGGAAGAGATGCTAGTTGTGATGCTAGTTGTGATGCTAGCTCCTCGAGCCTGCAGGAATGGCTTCTTGTCTGCACCGGGCCCGGATTCAGATGGATGTCTCCCGCTAACAATAAGACCAAGACGATCATACTTCTTCGGTCTAGTTTGCCTGACGGGGGTAAGTACTTTCGCGTCGGGTTTGCAGTTAATAATGCATGAATGCTTGCACTTCCAAAAGCGAGGTGTTTCCTTTCCCAGCCGTTGAGAAGGTAAAAGTCATTGTGGTTCATTTTATCCCTGCTTTCACTACTCTCCTTCTCTAAGTGATGTTGCCTCATTGATGAGTTGAGGTAGGAGTCCATAATCCATATTGTCAGGAGGATGAAATATGTGAAGAATCGTGAGGAATAACCTCCAATGCGGGAGCTCTCGGAAATGCGACCACTCATAGCGAAACCGGAAGCTTGAGATACTTACTAGTCCCCAGAACAGACAGGTCCTAGATCCCAACCCTTAACCCCAGCCCTTAGGCAGCCCTATGGGGCTAACAGAATCACACCTTTAGAACAATCAGATAGGGTTCATTCCTAGAACACATAGAGAGAGTATGTGAAGCCTGGGCTGAGAGCCAGCTGTTTAGCACTTATGGCGCATTTCCATTGCAGCGCGTAGCTCGCTTTAAGCGTGCCGTGTCGTGCCGTCCCCTTTTTTGGTTGTGCTTCCACTAGGCCTCGTTCCGGCGCGGCACGGCGCGGGGCCACTTTTTCCCCTCTTTTCTGGCCCTAGAAAATTGTGGTTCTATCGGGGCCAACAAACAGGGCTGAGTCGGGCTGAGTATGCTAAACTAGAGAGAGGAGCGCTGGCAAGAGGGCTAGAACTACAACAAGATGGACATATTGACCGTGATTTAATTGTAATACACGTTTCAAAATGATGCCGAAGTAACAACATACTGATACCGGTTAGTAAAAACCATGAATTAATGCTTTGTCAAGTCTGCAGACAGACGGCAGGCGAAACACCTTTTAAAATGCGTGTTTTTCTAGATGGAGATTGGCTAAGCTAACGCAGTATATGCCCCGACCGTCCACACTCACAACAACGGCCTATACAGACATAAATTAAGCAGCGACTGTATTCACCATGACACAGGCAGTCTGTGGTTTGTACTTGTTTAACTTTTGTCGAGTTTCTGAACATATATAAGGAGCTGTGAGCTCTGAGTGCTCACAGCTAACGGCTGTGTTGTGTTTCTGGATTTCTCATTGAAGATGACGTCACGGCTCCGCCTACACTGCGTTACTATAGTAACTACCCCAGTTCCTAAACTGTAATGGAAGCGCAGCATGAAGTGAGTCGGCCCTGTTAAGGCCCAACGCGGCCAAGCCGTACCGAGCCGTACCGAGTGTGGCCGAGGCCGACCGTGTAGTGGAAATGCGCCATTAGTGTGAGGGTCATAGATCCCCCACCTGGCCCAATCCCCTTACTCTACCTGTGTGTTAACCAATGAGGACACTGGAGGTGGTCTACATGTGAACATGATGATAAAGACACAACTAAGAGAAGCTCAATCTTTATTTAAAATAGGTTTCATCACAAGGTCATTCAGAGAGTTCAGGGAACATCAGGAAACAGTTTCAGACAGGTTTCATCACAAGGTCATTCAGAGAGTTCAGGGAACATCAGGAAACAGTTTCAGACAGGTTTCATTCGAGGTGTAAACAAAAGGATCACAGCATTATTATCAGAGCTAGAACCAGCAGAGCCTGTCTTCATCCTGCTGCCCTGCGTCAACATGCCTTCAGGCCCCACACATGGTCATCATTCAGACTGCAGCGTGTGCACTGAAGTCACTCTGAGCCCCATTTGAACATCAGGAGAAGGTAGAAAAGGGCTCTCTAAGGAATATAAGAAATGTAACTTCTGTTAGACATATCGTATCCTGTAGAAAACAAGAGACGAGTGATGAGAAGTATTTTTATTCCTATTGGTCAAAACTGATTACATTTACTTTAGAAAAAAACTTAAAATACAGAAGTGTGGTTATCAAAGTAAGGATTAAAGCCTCTGTGGGATCATGTGATCATGAGATCATGTGATCATGAGATCATGTGATCATGTGATCATGAGATCATGTGATCATGAGATCATGTGATCATGTGATCATGTGATGATGTGATCATGTGATGATGTGATGATGTGATCATGAGATCATGTGATCATGTGATCATGTGATCATGTGATCATGTGATCATGTGATGATGTGATGATGTGATGATGTGATGATGTGATGATGTGATGGTGTGATGATGTGATGATGTGATGATGTGATGATGTGATGATGTGATGATGTGATGATGTGATGATGTGATGATGTGATCATATGATCTCCTCAGGTACTCAGGCTGGAGGCTGAGGGTCTTTCACCCTGAACTCAGCTGCACTCGTTCCCTTTGATCAGGAAGAAGGTCCCAGCAGCCACTCCCAGGAGACCCACCGTCAGACCCAGAGCACAGAAGACTGCTGGTCCCACGCCGGGCTGAGACCCCTGCTCCTCTGGGGACAGAACAGAGACATCAGGTCAACATCTGGAGACACACAACATCAGGTCAACATCTGGAGACAGAACAGAGACATCAGGTCAACATCTGGAGACACACAATATCAGGTCAACATCTGGAGACACACAACATCAGGTCAACATCTGGAGACACACAACATCAGGTCAACATCTGGAGACACACAACATCAGGTCAACATCTGGAGACACACAACATCAGGTCAACATCTGGAGACACACAACATCAGGTCAACATCTGGAGACACACAACATCAGGTCAACATCTGGAGACAGACAACATCAGGTCAACATCTGGAGACAGACAACATCAGGTCAACATCTGGAGACAGACAACATCAGGTCATCATCTGGAGACACACAACATCAGGTCAACATCTGGAGACAGAACACAGAGACATCAGGTCAACATCTGGAGACAGACAACATCAGGTCATCATCTGGAGACACACAACATCAGGTCAACATCTGGAGACACACAACATCAGGTCAACATCTGGAGACAGACAACATCAGGTCAACATCTGGAGACAGACAACATCAGGTCATCATCTGGAGACACACAACATCAGGTCAACATCTGGAGACACACAACATCAGGTCAACATCTGGAGACAGACAACATCAGGTCAACATCTGGAGACAGACAACATCAGGTCAACATCTGGAGACAGACAACATCAGGTCAACATCTGGAGACAGACAACATCAGGTCAACATCTGGAGACAGACAACATCAGGTCAACATCTGGAGACAGACAACATCAGGTCAACATCTGGAGACACACAACATCAGGTCAACATCTGGAGACACACAATATCAGGTCAACATCTGGAGACAGACAACATCAGGTCAACATCTGGAGACACACAACATCAGGTCAACATCTGGAGACAGACAACATCAGGTCAACATCTGGAGACACACAACATCAGGTCAACATCTGGAGACAGACAACATCAGGTCAACATCTGGAGACAGATAACATCAGGTCAACATCTGGAGACAGAACAGAGACATCAGGTCAACATCTGGAGACACACAACATCAGGTCAACATCTGGAGACACACAACATCAGGTCAACATCTGGAGACAGACAACATCAGGTCAACATCTGGAGACAGACAACATCAGGTCAACATCTGGAGACACACAACATCAGGTCAACATCTGGAGACAGGAACACCTGGAGACAGGAACATCTGGAGACAGGAACACCTGGAGACAGGAACACCTGGAGATAGGAACATCTGGAGACAGGAACATCTGGAGACAGGAACATCTGGAGACAGGAACACCTGGAGACAGGAACATCTGGCCTCAGGTCAATTTGTATTTGGTGTGACTTCACATGAAGCTCTCACCCCAGAACGTGGTCAGCGGCTGGTCCAGAGCCAGATGTTGGACCCCACAGCTGTAGATGTCTCCCAGCTGGGGGGTGAACTCCAGTCGGGAGAACTGGCTGAAGGAACCCTCTTTGGAGAGGAAGGGAACGGGGAAGCTGGTTCCTTCAGTCACGTTCTCTCCGTTCTTTGTCCAGAAGAAGCTCACAGGAGCCGGATAGAAACCGGTCACATGACAGACGAGGACGTTCCCCTCTCCCATCTCCACTTCCTGTTTGGTGTAGAGCAGCGGGGTGGAAGGAGGATCTGTGCAGAGACACTTCCTGTTAGATGATCGTCTAAGATCACACACAACACACACACACACACACACACACACAACACACACACACACACACACACACACACACACACACACACACACACACACACACACACACACACACACACACACACACACACATACACACACACACACACATACACACACACACACACACACACAGAGCATGTAATTGATTCTCTAACACAGTATAACATGTAACACAGTTCTTCAGGTTTGATGCTAACTGCATTTGGTCGTCTCACTGCTGTGCGATGACAGTAAATATAAATAAAGTGGATTGATCTAAAGTCAGATGAGGGCTCATTGATTAAATGAATAAGTCTAAATTGTTTGGGAAGGTGAATACTTGTATATTAAATAGATTTAATAGGAATGCTGTTATAAACTTGGGTTGCATTGTGAGTGTATATTGATCACAAAGACACGTGCAGTTCAATGTGTTTAAATATCTGAAAGAGAACGAGACAGAAGACGTTTACCTTTCTCCAGGGAGACGTTCTTGAAGATGTTACGGTGTGTTCCCAGGTTGAATCTGCAGGTCTGTAGAGCACCCTGAGCGGCTTCATAAGGCCAATTAATATGATCTGTCACAAAGCTGGGCTGAGCGTCCACTGCTTTCCCTGCTTTGAAGTCAGCGTGCCACATCTCCTCTGCATCCAGAGCCATCATGTACTCCCCATCAGAGTCTGAACAGCCGGTGAACTGAAGGGCATCATGTGGAACTGAAGAGAAACACAACACTTAACTGTTGTTGGTAAACACTGACTGTTGGTAAACACTGACTGTTAGTAAACACTGACTGTTGGTAAACACTGACTGTTGGTAAACACTGACTGTTGGTAAACACTGACTGTTAGTAAACACTGACTGTTAGTAAACACTGACTGTTGGTAAACACTGACTGTTGGTAAACACTGACTGTTGGTAAATACTGACTGTTGGTAAACACTGACTGTTGGTAAACACTGACTGTTGGTAAACACTGACTGTTGGTAAACACTGACTGTTAGTAAACACTGACTGTTGGTAAACACTGACTGTTGGTAAACACTGACTGTTAGTAAACACTGACTGTTAGTAACACTGACTGTTGGTAAACACTGACTGTTGGTAACACTGACTGTTAGAAACACTGACTGTTAGTAAACACTGACTGTTGGTAAACACTGACTGTTAGTAAACACTGACTGTTGGTAAACACTGACTGTTGGTAAACACTGACTGTTAGTAAACACTGACTGTTAGTAAACACTGACTGTTGGTAAACACTGACTGTTAGTAAACACTGACTGTTGGTAAACACTGACTGTTGGTAAACACTGACTGTTGGTAAACACTGACTGTTAGTAAACACTGACTGTTGGTCAACACTGACTGTTGGTAAACACTGACTGTTGGTAAACACTGACTGTTGGTAAACACTGACTGTTAGTAAACACTGACTGTTGGTAAACACTGACTGTTGGTAAACACGGACTGTTAGTAAACACTGACTGTTAGTAAACACTGACTGTTGGTAAACACTGACTGTTGGTAAACACTGACTGTTAGTAAACACTGACTGTTGGTCAACACTGACTGTTAGTAAACACTGACTGTTGGTAAACACTGACTGTTAGTAAACACTGACTGTTGGTAAACACTGACTGTTAGTAAACACTGACTGTTGGTAAACACCGACTGTTGGTAAACACTGACTGTTGGTAAACACTGACTGTTAGTAAACACTGACTGTTGGTAAACACTGACTGTTGGTAAACACTGACTGTTAGTAAACACTGACTGTTAGTAAACAGATTGTTTATCAGTAAATAAACAGTTTGTTTTGATCAGGAGTTGAACAGACACTGACCGTCAGCTGAAACACAGAGGACCCCGCAGAGGAAGAGGAGCATAATCTTCATCATCATCATCTGTCTGTAGACCTGTCTGTCTCTCTGTCTCTCTGTCTCTCTGTAGCTGTCTGTCTCTCTGTAGCTGTCTGTCTGTCTGTCTGTCTCTCTGTCTGTCTCTCTGTCTGTCTCTCTGCAGCTGTCTGTCTGTAGCCGTCTCTCTGTCTGTCTCTCTGTCTGTCTCTCTGTAGCTGTCTGTCTGTAGCCGTCTCTCTGTCTGTCTCTCTGCAGCTGTCTGTCTCTCTGTAGCCGTCTCTCTGTCTGTCTCTCTCTCTGTAGCTGTCTCTCTCTAGCTGTCTGTCTCTCTGTAGCTGTCTGTCTCTCTGTAGCTGTCTCTCTCTAGCTGTCTGTCTCTCTGTAGCTGTCTCTCTGCAGCTGTCTGTCTGTCTGTAGCTGTCTGTCTCTCTGTAGCTGTCTCTCTGCAGCTGTCTGTCTCTCTGTAGCTGTCTGTCTCTCTCTAGCTGTCTGTCTCTCTGTAGCTGTCTGTCTCTCTGTAGCTGTCTGTCTCTCTCTCTGTAGCTGTCTGTCTCTCTGTAGCTGTCTGTCTCTCTGTAGCTGTCTGTCTCTCTCTAGCTGTCTCTCTCTCTGTAGCTGTCTGTCTCTCTCTAGCTCTCTGTCTCTCTCTAGCTGTCTGTCTGTCTCTCTGTAGCTGTCTGTCTGTCTCTCTGCTGTCTGTCTGTCTCTCTGCAGCTGTCTGTCTCTCTGTAGCTGTCTGTCTCTCAAGAGTTGTCTGAACCGACTGACAGAAAGTTAGCAGCAGCCGGCTCTTAGAGTGTCAGCAGCCAATCAGAGAGCAGAGATTAAATGATGGTCATCAGTATCCGGGTAGAGGCAGCTGCTCTGTTTGATTACAGAGAGGACTGTAGAGTCTCTACTTTAAAGAGTCCTCTCCTGATGATGTTCAGGTGTATATCAGTATGTAGTGTCTCTACTTTAAAGAGTCCTCTCCTGCTGATGTTCAGGTGTATATCAGTATGTAGTGTCTCTACTTTAAAGAGTCCTCTCCTGCTGATGTTCAGGTGTATATCAGTATGTAGTGTCTCTACTTTAAAGAGTCCTCTCCTGCTGATGTTCAGGTGTATATCAGTATGTAGTGTCTCTACTTTAAAGAGTCCTCTCCTGCTGATGTTCAGGTGTATATCAGTATGTAGTGTCTCTACTTTAAAGAGTCCTCTCCTGCTGATGTTCAGGTGTATATCAGTATGTAGTGTCTCTACTTTAAAGAGTCCTCTCCTGCTGATGTTCAGGTGTATATCAGTATGTAGTGTCTCTACTTTAAAGAGTCCTCTCCTGCTGATGTTCAGGAGAAAGGTCAAAGTGTGCATGTTATAATAAAGTAGTGTATATTTACAGACTGTTACTACTAACTAAACTAAGGAGCTCATGAACATCAGGTTTAACCCTAATAGTCATTCGGGACTATAGTGTTCACTTTGATAAAAACATTATATTAAAATGTGTTTTCACCTTTCTTTATACCAAATGTGTGTGTGTGTGTGTGTGTGTGTGTGTGTGTGTGTGTGTGTGTGTGTGTGTGTGTGTGGGTGTGTGTGTGTGTGTGTGTGTGTGTGTGTGTGTGTGTGTGTGTGTGCTCAGCGTCTCTGTTGTTGTGGTTCCTGTTTCTCTGATTTGTCACCTGACCCTGAACGCAGCGTCTCTGGAAAGTCCCGACGCTTTACTTTCACTTCCTGTTCAGCCAGCAGCCAATCAGAAAATGCGCTGCCGATGACTCATCAGTTACCAGGGGCAGCAGTTTGTGAGTGAACAGAGAGAGAGAGAGAGGCGGAGCTGCAGCGCCCCCTGCAGGTGCATCAGGGCATAACACCTGTGGACGAGTTAAACTCACTCAGAGTGAAGGGATGAGAGAGAGAGCTGCAGCGCCCCCTGCAGGTGCATCAGGGCATAACACCTGTGGACGAGTTAAACTCACTCAGAGTGAAGGGATGAGAGAGAGAGCTGCAGCGCCCCCTGCAGGTGCATCAGGGCATAACACCTGTGGACGAGTTAAACTCACTCAGAGTGAAGGGATGAGAGAGAGCTGCAGCGCCCCCTGCAGGTGCATCAGGGCATAACACCTGTGGACGAGTTAAACTCACTCAGAGTGAAGGGATGAGAGAGAGAGCTGCAGCGCCCCCTGCAGGTGCATCAGGGCATAACACCTGTGGACGAGTTCAACTCACTCAGAGTGAAGGGATGAGAGAGAGCTGCAGCGCCCCCTGCAGGTGCATCAGGGCATAAGTTAAAGTTAAAGCCTTTTATTGTCATTGTACACAGAGTATAACGAGATTCAGAGTGCAACTCTGTCCCGGTGTGCAAAAAATACAAACACATACAGAACACTAAAAAACACGGCAATAGGACAGACAACAGAGGGCAGAGGGCAGGGGGCAGAGAGCAGGGGGCAGGGGGCAGAGAGCAGGGGGCAGGGGGCAGAGAGCAGGGGGCAGGGGGCAGAGAGCAGGGGGCAGGGGGCAGGGGGCATTTCACTATATGTGTATTCATCTTCGCTTAGGGGGATTATACCATTCAAACAATGCAGAAACGACGTTTCTCCAGCTGCTAAATCACCCATGTTTGACCGTTTATGAAATCACCCCATCACAAGAAAATAGAAAGGAAATCAAAAATGTCTCACTGCTGGAGAAAACCACACCGCTATCAGACGCCTCCAGCTTATTCAGTTGGTGTAACCATAAAGTTGACGGTAGCAGCGCGGTGATCGTGAGGGAGATCTATACAGAAAAGAGACAGAGAGGTAAAAAAGAAAAGGGGGTAAGTATTTGAAACACTGAAATATTACATTTAACAACAATTCATTTAGCAATCATCTTATAAAAATAACCATAAAAGTAATTTACCGGTATGGCAACTCGTTTGGAGTGTGTCTGGGACGGGGTCAACCCAGAGCTGCTCTACGGCCGCACTGAGAAGCTCAAAAATATGCCTGGCTCTCAGACTGCAGCGGTGCTGGGGGTCGCCCCAGAACTGCTGAAGGGGGGCGTGACAGAGGGATGAGTCTGTTGGGGACGGGGGTCACCCCCGATTTCACACGGCAGAGATCTGTCGTCGTGATGGTTTACTGATGACTGGCTTATGCTGTAGATTTCATCACCTTGTAGCAAAAGAGCAGGTATATAAAACGTTACTATGGATACTTTATATACAACACCACACACACACACACACACACACACACACACACACACACACACACACACAGACACACACACACAGACACACACACACACACACACACACACACACACACACACACACACACACACACACACACACACACACACACACACACACACACACACACACACACACACACACACACACACACAACACACACACACACACACACACACACACACACACACACACACCACACACACACACACACACACCACACACACACACACACACACAATAAAATATAAAGTACTTACCAGAGTTTTTTCCAGATCAGATCCGAATCAGGTCTCATTCTCTCCAAAGATCACGTGGGTCTGTTCTAGTGAAAACTTAATCCCCTTAAATAGCTGTATAGCAAATAACCATGTCAATGGCCCCAAGAAGTGGGAATCAATCGGGATGGTCCTGCTAGTTTAACAGATTAGCATGTTTGTCTGTCAGAGATTTCTTAAAAACGTATTCTTATATATATATATATATATATATATATATATATATATATATATATGCAGATACACATTAGAAAACGTGTAGATACACATTACAAACATGTAGATATTAGATACACTCTGCAAAGACTGTAGAAACTCTAAACCTGTATTGGTCTTCAGGAGATGAGGCCTTTTTTAGACAATGAATAATTTCAGAAAAGAGAGCCCCTTGTAGTTAATAAAGTAATTAAACATTAGCCCACAAAGTCATACACCTTTGAGAGAACATCCTAGTTAGCACAAATCATATTTAAAAAACTGGCTGGGGAGGAGGGGGGTTTGACAGACAGACTGAGACTGGCTGGAGCCTATTTGGATCACCCCTTAACACGGCGCATAGGGAAGTGTTTTTTACATCCTGTCAGCCCTGATCAACCCTACGGAGCCATCCCAGAATGAATAGCAGAACCAGCAGCTCTTTTTTCCATACCTGCAGCTATTTCTAATATTACCCCCACCCAGCCTCATATAGCTTCATATGGGGATTCTTTAATAGTTGTGGGAAGTAATTAAACATTTAAAAAAAATACAATACCAGGGGATCATTAAGATCTTTAAATGATTACTACCCTCTTCAGAGAGACTTTGTTGTAGTTAATACTAGATTACCCCTCTTTTCAAAAAAGAGAGAGTCCCTTATAGTTAGTAGAGTAATTAAACATTAGGTCACAAGCCATACAACTTAAGCGAACATCCATAGTTAACACAGAACATATTTAATAACTGGCTGGGGGGGAAGGAGGGGGATATGGAGGGAGGGGGGGGCTGAGAGGGGTGGGGGCTGAGAGGGGTGGGGGCGCCTGTGGGCTGAGAGGGGGGAGGCGCCTGTGGGCTGAGAGGCGTGGGGGCTGAGAGAGGTGGGGGCGCCTGGGGGCTGAGAGGGGTGGGGGCACCTGGGGGCTGAGAGGGGTGGGGGCTGAGAGGGGTGGGGGCGCCTGGGGGCTGAGAGGGGTGGGGGCACCTGGGGGCTGAGAGGGGTGGGGGCACCTGGGGGCTGAGAGGGGTGACCTGTCCGTTTTTATGCATACTAATGAGATGAAAGCGGGATCATTACTACTACTGTTGTGGATGTAAACACACAGACCACCCCCTCGGCTCTTACCGGAAGCGCTGTTCCTGTCGTAGCGGTGGGTGGAGCGGCCTGGTAGCTGCACTGCTGTGTCTGGAATCCGCAAGTGTAGCCAGGATGCCGTGATGATCATCACACAGCAGTCGCGTACGTTCGTGTTAGCAGCTAGTAGTACCTGCAGTTCGTAGATTGTGTGGACGATGGACCTGGCAATTGCGAGGAAGAGGCTTGGTGGTCGGTGCGGCCGCTTCCTTAGCCTAGCAAGCAGGCCTGCACGGCTTCCTCTCTTCTGCTTCCTCTCTTCTGCTTCCTCTCTTCTGCTTCCTCTCTTCTGCTTCCTCTCTTCTGCTTCCTCTCTTCTGCTTCCTCTCTTCTGCTTCCTCTCCCTCCGGCGCCTGCGTTGCTTCACAGGCCTGAAAACAATCCAGGGAGACCCGAGCGGTCTCGCTATGTCCTCCGGGATGTTGTTAGTCCGGTGGAAATCGGCTGTGATGTCAGAGCGACAACTCATCCCGATGTCAAATAAGTCCATGCGATTGTATGTATTTCGCCTGTTAGGGTGTTCACGCACACAAACAAAAAACAAACAGTGCACAACCAAAACAGAGAGCCGTGAGCCGCAGCGTCTGAGCGCGCCGCCATCTTGGCACACCTGTGAACGAGTTTAAGGCCCAATCCCAAACCACTCCCTCGACCCTACCCCTCCGTGGCGGAGTGAACTCCGTCTGTAGCCTCACACTCAGCTCAGCGAGGCTCCTCCTGTCAGATGGAGGGAGTAAACACAGCGGCAAGCTTTGGGACAAACTCCCCTCTCTCCTCAGAAACAGGAAATGCCGTAACTGTAACAACGGTATCAAATCAGCATCTCTTTGACACAAAATGTAAATTAATAACTAAAATAAAACTACAAACATCTTTAATTGTTTTACTTTTTTGTAAAGCTCTTTTAGTTTCAAACCTGATGTTTATAAGCTTCTTAGTTTTTGCAACAGTCTGTAAATATACACAACTTTATAATAAAATGCACACATTTACCTTTTTCTAGACTAAACACAGGTATGATCCTAAGTTAAAAACATATGAGGTTATCATGAGGTTGTTAACATCGCAGTTTATCAGTGGATGTTTGGAACTGTTTGTAAACAGCGTGTTTCCTGACGGACACGCAGCGTGTTTCCTGACGGACACGCAGCGTGTTTCCTGACGGACACGCAGCGTGTTTCCTGACAGACACGCAGCGTGTTTCCTGACGGACACGCAGCGTGTTTCCTGACGGACACGCAGCGTGTTTCCTGACGGACACGCAGCGTGTTTCCTGACGGACACGCAGCGTGTTTCCTGACAGACACGCAGCGTGTTTCCTGACGGACACGCAGCGTGTTTCCTGACAGACACGCAGCGTGTTTCCTGACAGACACGCAGCGTGTTTCCTGACGGACACGCAGCGTGTTTCCTGACAGACACGCAGCGTGTTTCCTGACAGACACACAGCGTGTTTCCTGACGGACACGCAGCGTGTTTCCTGACGGACACGCAGCGTGTTTCCTGACGGACACGCAGCGTGTTTCCTGACGGACACGCAGCGTGTTTCCTGGCGGACACACGCAGCGTGTTTCCTGACGGACACGCGCAGCGTGTTTCCTGACGGACACACGGCGTGACTCCGGTCAGGTAGAGACCGGTCTCCAGTCAGCACCGCTGCAGACTCGCTGTTTGAGGGCTTGATAGCCCACTCCCCCTCCACACCGCTCCACACTCGTTGGTTTGGAACAGACCTTAATGTGGCGGACCCTCCGCGCGAACGCGCAAACGGAGGGGTAGTGTGTAGGGGGCGGTTTGGGATTGGGCCAAACTCACCTCAGAGTGAAGGGATGAGAGAGAGCTGCAGCGCCCCCTGCAGGGTCAGCATCAGCACTGCAGTCACTTTGTTTACTTTTAGAAACCAAAGAGTTTCAGAAATAATGAGTTATTTTAATACTTATTGAAACAATGCAACAACTGATCATTTAAAATGAATGGAGAGACACCTGCTTTGTTTACCTGTGTGTCTACCTGTGTGTCTACCTGTGTGACTACCTGTGTGTCTACCTGTGTGTCTACCTGTGTGTCTACCTGTGTGTCTACCTGTGTGTCTACCTGTGTGTCTACCTGTGTGTCTACCTGTGTGTCTACCTGTGTGTCTACCTGTGTGACTACCTGTGTGTCTACCTGTGTGTCTACCTGTGTGTCTACCTGTGTGTCTACCTGTGTGACTACCTGTGTGTCTACCTGTGTGACTACCTGTGTGTCTACCTGTGTGTCTACCTGTGTGTCTACCTGTGTGTCTACCTGTGTGTCTACCTGTGTGTCTACCTGTGTGTCTACCTGTGTGTCTACCTGTGTGTCTACCTGTGTGTCTACCTGTGTGTCTACCTGTGTGTCTACCTGTGTGTCTACCTGTGTGACTACCTGTGTGTCTACCTGTGTGTCTACCTGTGTGTCTACCTGTGTGTCTACCTGTGTGTACTTACCCTACCTGTGTGACTACCTGTGTGTCTACCTGTGTGTCTACCTGTGTGTCTACCTGTGTGTCTACCTGTGTGACTACCTGTGTGACTACCTGTGTGTCTACCTGTGTGACTACCTGTGTGTCTACCTGTGTGTCTACCTGTGTGTCTACCTGTGTGTCTACCTGTGTGTCTACCTGTGTGTCTACCTGTGTGACTACCTGTGTGTCTACCTGTGTGTCTACCTGTTGTCTACCGTGTGTCTACCTGTGTACTACCTGTGTGACTACCCTGTGTGTCTACCTGTGTGACTACCTGTGTGTCTACCTGTGTGTCTACCTGTGTGTCCTACCGGTGCTGACTACCTGTGTGTCTACCTGTGTGTCTACCTGTGTGACTACCTGTGTGTCTACCTGTGTGTCTACCTGTGTGTCTACCTGTGTCTACCTGTGTGTCTACCTGTGTGTCTACCTGTGTGTCTACCTGTGTGTCTACCTGTGTGTCTACCTGTGTGTCTACCTGTGTGTCTACCTGTGTGTCTACCTGTGTGTCTACCTGTGTGTCTACCTGTGTGACTACCTGTGTGTCTACCTGTGTGACTACCTGTGTGTCTACCTGTGTGACTACCTGTGTGACTACCTGTGTGTCTACCTGTGTGTCTACCTGTGTGACTACCTGTGTGTCTACCTGTGTGTCTACCTGTGTGTCTACCTGTGTGACTACCTGTGTGTCTACCTGTGTGACTACCTGTGTGACTACCTGTGTGACTACCTGTGTGACTACCTGTGTGACTACCTGTGTGACTACCTGTGTGACTACCTGTGTGTCTACCTGTGTGACTACCTGTGTGACTACCTGTGTGTCTACCTGTGTGACTACCTGTGTGACTACCTGTGTGACTACCTGGTGTGCTACCTGGTGTCTACCTGTGTGGTCTACCTGTGTGACTACCTGTGTGTCTACCTGTGTGACTACCTGTGTGACTACCTGTGTGACTACCTGTGTGACTACCTGTGTGTCTACCTGTGTGTCTACCTGTGTGAGTGTCTACCTGTGTGTCTACCTGTGTGACTACCTGTGTGTCTACCTGTGTGACTACCTGTGTGACTACCTGTGTGACTACCTGTGTGACTACCTGTGTGACTACCTGTGTGACTACCTGTGTGACTACCTGTGTGTCTACCTGTGTGTCTACCTGTGTGAGTGTCTACCTGTGTGACTACCTGTGTGACTACCTGTGTGTCTACCTGTGTGTCTACCTGTGTGACTACCTGTGTGTCTACCTGTGTGACTACCTGTGTGTCTACCTGTGTGACTACCTGTGTGACTACCTGTGTGTCTACCTGTGTGTCTACCTGTGTGTCTACCTGTGTGAGTGTCTACCTGTGTGACTACCTGTGTGACTACCTGTGTGTCTACCTGTGTGTCTACCTGTGTGACTACCTGTGTGTCTACCTGTGTGACTACCTGTGTGTCTACCTGTGTGACTACCTGTGTGTCTACCTGTGTGTCTACCTGTGTGTCTACCTGTGTGACTACCTGTGTGTCTACCTGTGTGACTACCTGTGTGACTACCTGTGTGTCTACCTGTGTGACTACCTGTGTGTCTACCTGTGTGACTACCTGTGTGACTACCTGTGTGTCTACCTGTGTGACTACCTGTGTGTCTACCTGTGTGTCTACCTGTGTGTTTACCTGTGTGACTACCTGTGTGTCTACCTGTGTGACTACCTGTGTGTCTACCTGTGTGACTACCTGTGTGTCTACCTGTGTGACTACCTGTGTGTCTACCTGTGTGTCTACCTGTGTGTTTACCTGTGTGACTACCTGTGTGTCTACCTGTGTGACTACCTGTGTGTCTACCTGTGTGACTACCTGTGTGTCTACCTGTGTGACTACCTGTGTGACTACCTGTGTGACTACCTGTGTGTCTACCTGTGTGACTACCTGTGTGTCTACCTGTGTGACTACCTGTGTGTCTACCTGTGTGACTACCTGTGTGACTACCTGTGTGACTACCTGTGTGTCTACCTGTGTGTCTACCTGTGTGAGTGTCTACCTGTGTGTCTACCTGTGTGACTACCTGTGTGTCTACCTGTGTGACTACCTGTGTGACTACCTGTGTGACTACCTGTGTGACTACCTGTGTGTCTACCTGTGTGTCTACCTGTGTGAGTGTCTACCTGTGTGTCTACCTGTGTGACTACCTGTGTGTCTACCTGTGTGACTACCTGTGTGACTACCTGTGTGACTACCTGTGTGACTACCTGTGTGACTACCTGTGTGACTACCTGTGTGACTACCTGTGTGTCTACCTGTGTGTCTACCTGTGTGAGTGTCTACCTGTGTGACTACCTGTGTGACTACCTGTGTGACTACCTGTGTGTCTACCTGTGTGTCTACCTGTGTGACTACCTGTGTGTCTACCTGTGTGACTACCTGTGTGTCTACCTGTGTGACTACCTGTGTGACTACCTGTGTGTCTACCTGTGTGTCCTGTGTGAGTGTGTCCTGTGTGAGTGTCTACCTGTGTGACTACCTGTGTGACTACCTGTGTGTCTACCTGTGTGTCTACCTGTGTGACTACCTGTGTGTCTACCTGTGTGACTACCTGTGTGTCTACCTGTGTGACTACCTGTGTGTCTACCTGTGTGTCTACCTGTGTGAGTGACTACCTGTGTGACTACCTGTGTGTCTACCTGTGTGAGTGACTACCTGTGTGACTACCTGTGTGACTACCTGTGTGTCTACCTGTGTGTCTACCTGTGTGTCTACCTGTGTGACTACCTGTGTGACTACCTGTGTGTCTACCTGTGTGACTACCTGTGTGTCTACCTGTGTGTCTACCTGTGTGACTACCTGTGTGACTACCTGTGTGTCTACCTGTGTGTCTACCTGTGTGTCTACCTGTGTGTCTACCTGTGTGTCTACCTGTGTGAGTGACTACCTGTGTGACTACCTGTGTGACTACCTGTGACTACGTGTGTGTCTACCTGTGTGACTACCTGTGTGAGTGACTACCTGTGTGACTACCTGTGTGTCTACCTGTGTGTCTACCTGTGTGTCTACCTGTGTGACTACCTGTGTGACTACCTGTGTGTCTACCTGTGTGTCTACCTGTGTGTCTACCTGTGTGACTACCTGTGTGACTACCTGTGTGTCTACCTGTGTGTCTACCTGTGTGACTACCTGTGTGACTACCTGTGTGTCTACCTGTGTGTCTACCTGTGTGACTACCTGTGTGTCTACCTGTGTGTCTACCTGTGTGTCTACCTGTGTGACTACCTGTGTGACTACCTGTGTGTCTACCTGTGTGTCTACCTGTGTGACTACCTGTGTGTCTACCTGTGTGTCTACCTGTGTGTCTACCTGTGTGACTACCTGTGTGACTACCTGTGTGACTACCTGTGTGACTACCTGTGTGTCTACCTGTGTGTCTACCTGTGTGACTACCTGTGTGAGTGACTACCTGTGTGACTACCTGTGTGACTACCTGTGTGTCTACCTGTGTGTCTACCTGTGTGTCTACCTGTGTGTCTACCTGTGTGAGTCTACCTGTGTGACTACCTGTGTGTCTACCTGTGTGACTACCTGTGTGTCTACCTGTGTGTCTACCTGTGTGTCTACCTGTGTGACTACCTGTGTGTCTACCTGTGTGACTACCTGTGTGACTACCTGTGTGTCTACCTGTGTGTCTACCTGTGTGTCTACCTGTGTGTCAGGTGTGCAAACAGCTGAGACAGTTTTCATGAGAACAACGTGAAGATTTCTTTATTTATATCAACATATTCTGTACATCTGAGAGTATACATTCTAATGGACAGGTGAGCTGTGGACGACTTCCTGTCAGTGTACAGGTGAGGTCAGTCAGTGCACAGGTGAGGTCAGTCAGTGTGTACAGGTGAGGTCAGTCAGTGTGTACAGGTGAGCACAGGTGTAGTCAGTCAGAGTTGATGCGTGTACAGGTGAGGTCAGTCAGTGTGTAAAGGTGAGGTCAGTCAGTGTACAGGTGAGGTCAGTCAGTGCACAGGTGAGGTCAGTCAGTGTGTACAGGTGAGGTCAGTCAGTGTACAGGTGAGGTCAGTCAGTGTACAGGTGAGGTCAGTCAGTGTGTTCAGGTGAGGTCAGTCAGTGTGTACAGGTGAGGTCAGTCAGTGTTCAGGTTAGGTCAGTCAGTGTGTTCAGGTGAGGTCAGTCAGTGTACAGGTGAGGTCAGTCAGTGTGTACAGGTGAGGTCAGTCAGTGTACAGGTGAGGTCAGTCAGTGTGTACAGGTGAGGTCAGTCAGTGTGTAAAGGTGAGGTCAGTCAGTGTGTAAAGGTGAGGTCAGTCAGTGTGTACAGGTGAGGTCAGTCAGTGTGTACAGGTGAGGTCAGTCAGTGTGTACAGGTGAGCACAGGTGTAGTCAGTCAGAGTTGATGCGTGTACAGGTCAGGTCAGTCAGAGTTGAGGTGTGTACAGGTGAGGTGTGTACAGGTGAGATCAGTCAGAGTTGAGTTGTGTACAGGTGAGGTCAGTCAGAGTTGATGTGTGTACAGGTGAGCTTCAGAGGCGGAGTCACTCTGGTCATGAAGTCTCGGTCTCCTCGGCTGAACCTCTTCATCTCTGAAACAGACAAGGTGAAGCTCATCATCACGGCCGGCGCTCTGCAGGTGAGTTCACAGGTGAGTTCACAGGTGAGTTCACAGGTGAGTTCACAGGTGAGCTCACAGGTGAGTTCACAGGTGAGTTCACAGGTGAGTTCACAGGTGAGCTCACAGGTGAGTTCACAGGTGGGTTCACAGGTGAGTTCACAGGTGAGTTCACAGGTGAGTTCACAGGTGGGTTCACAGGTGGGTTCACAGGTGGGTTCACAGGTGAGTTCACAGGTGAGTTCACAGGTGAGTTCACAGGTGAGTTCACAGGTGGGTTCACAGGTGGGTTCACAGGTGGGTTCACAGGTGAGTTCACAGGTGAGTTCACAGGTGAGCTCACAGGTGAGTTCACAGGTGAGTTTCATTACCTTCTGATTTCTGAGCGTTCTGTTTCCTGCAGGTGAGAGACAGCTGACGACACACCACCTCACTGCTGCACACACACAACAGGAAGTGGAGGAGAGGGTCCTCTGAGTCACACACCTGAGAGAGAGACAGGTAAACACACACCTGAGAGAGAGACAGGTAAACACACACACACCTGAGAGAGAGACAGGTAAACACACACACACCTGAGAGAGAGACAGGTAAACACACACACCTGAGAGAGAGACAGGTAAACACACACACACCTGAGAGAGAGACAGGTAAACACACACCTGAGAGAGAGACAGGTAAACACACAGACTGTTATTGGTCTATAAATGTGCGTGCGTGGAAGTTGTGTGAAGTCTGAGAGCGTGTAGCTCCCGTAGCAAACCCTTTGAGAAGTCAGGTTATGATCAGATGAGCAGGTGGATCACTCAAAGTTTATAGGGAGGGACACACAGGAGGAGAGCGCCATGCGGGGCCTCGCAGGTGAACCTGGAGGGAGTGACACACAGGAGGAGAGCGCCATGCGGGGCCTCGCAGGTGAACCTGGAGGGAGTGACACACAGGAGGAGAGCGCCATGCGGGGCCCCGCAGGTGAACCTGGAGGGAGTGACACACAGGAGGAGAGCGCCATGCGGGGCCTCGCAGGTGAACCTGGAGGGAGTGACACACAGGAGGAGAGCGCCATGCGGGGCCTCGCAGGTGAACCTGGAGGGAGTGACACACAGGAGGAGAGCGCCATGCGGGGCCCTCGCAGGTGAACCTGGAGGGAGGGACACACAGGAGGAGAGCGCCATGCGGGGCCTCGCAGGTGAACCTGGAGGGAGTGACACACAGGAGGAGAGCGCCATGCGGGGCCTCGCAGGTGAACCTGGAGGGAGTGACACACAGGAGGAGAGCGCCATGCGGGGCCTCGCAGGTGAACCTGGAGGGAGTGACACACAGGAGGAGAGCGCCATGCGGGGCCTCGCAGGTGAACCTGGAGGGAGTGACACACAGGAGGAGAGCGCCATGCGGGGCCTCGCAGGTGAACCTGGAGGGAGTGACACACAGGAGGAGAGCGCCATGCGGGGCCTCGCAGGTGAACCTGGAGGGAGTGACACACAGGAGGAGAGCGCCATGCGGGGCCTCGCAGGTGAACCTGGAGGGAGTGACACACAGGAGGAGAGCGCCATGCGGGGCCTCGCAGGTGAACCGCTCGGAGCTGTCGGCACTAATAGGCTCCATAATAAGAGAGGAGGGGTTGTTTCTCAATGTCGAGTACGCTTGCTTGGTAGCACATGTCTGCCGAGCATCTTGCTTCAGAAGCGAGTCAAGAATACTTCCTGGCATTCAGAAAACAAAGAGTGGAACAGGCTAGCAAGTGTGCAGGTGTGCGTCATATGAGAGGCCCCGCCTCTTACATCTTCCGCCACAGATTTGGGGAAATTGGTCGGTGCGCAAAGCATTGTGGGGATTTTAAGGCCGCGAAGTCTACTCATGTGCAGCCTCGATATTTCTCCAAACGGAGTACGCCGGGCTCGGTAGATTTCCAAGTATGCTGGAGATTGGAACAGTACTTCGGCGGCACTCGATGACGTAGTATGCTTGAAATAGTGGCTCTGAAGCAGCTTTACTCGCGATGGAGAAACACCCGAGATAGGGGCGAGAGACTCCAGCCGCAGCTTGATGCTTTAAAGGGAGGACTCGTGTTGTCAGAAGCTCGTGATATGGAGGAGGGGATGACCGACATGGATTGTAGGGTTGCTATACTCAAAACCACAAATGTCAATCTAATGAAGGAAACCAAAGAGTTCAAAGACACACCAGAGAGGATGGAGATTGAAAGCAGAAAGTTGAATCTACGTGTGATTGGACTGAAAACGCACATTGAGAAGAGCGATCCCATTGCCTTGAAAGGAGGTGTTGGGAAGTGAGCTCTCATGTGAACCGGCAGTCGAGATGGCATACAGGGTTGGGCAGGGGACTGACTTGAGACCCAGACCTGTGATCGTCACTATGCAGAGATATCAAGCTGAGGAAGCGATGTTGAAGCTGGCAAGAAGCAAGGGACAGATTATTTTCCGTGACATGCGAGTGGAGATATTTCCTGATATTGCAGGGAGAGAGCTATTCAATGACGTCAGGATGTGCGAGGCTGAGGTGAGGCATGGACTGCTGTTCCCCGCAGCGCTCATCCTAACCTCCAATGGACTGCTGTTCCCCGCAGCGCTCATCCTAACCTCCAATGGACTGCTGTTCCCCGCAGCGCTCATCCTAACCTCCAATGGACTGCTGTTCCCCGCAGCGCTCATCCTAACCTCCAATGGACTGCTGTTCCCCGCAGCGCTCATCCTAACCTCCAATGGACTGCTGTTCCCCGCAGCGCTCATCCTAACCTCCAATGGACAAACCAAACTTTATCAGGACTGCAGTGAAGCTGAGCGTTTCTATAGAACAGTGAACAACCCGGTTTCAGTTCAAACCAGAAATGAAGGTGGAATGACTGATGGACCTGATAGATGGTATGATTATACATATTAGGAGAAGACATTAACTGTATTATGAAAAAGGGAATTGTTGCAGTTTTGGTGATTTCCACATTTGTTTTATTTCCTTGAAGGCCAATATTCACTGGTCTACGAGTTATCCACTCATTTATTTGAAGTTATTTACTTCATCATCTGCGAGTATGAATTTATGTTTATTAGATTTTGAATGGAGACACATTTCAACTCTATTGTTGTTCACTCCTCCTAAAATGTAATGTTGATGTATTGATTAGATCTAGTGTTGCGAGACATTACAATGAATCTATTTCATACTTTTATCTAAAAATGTTTGGCAGCTCCCGGGAGGCTCGTCTAATTGAGCGAGTGAGTCTGCACATGCAAAGCAATCTATGTGCATGTTGGGTTTGTATGTGATGGTGTGTGATGGTGTGTGATGGTGTGTGATGGTGTGTGATGGTGTGTGATGGTATGTGATGGTGTGTGATGGTATGTGATGGTATGTGATGGTGTGTGACGGTATGTGACGGTGTGTGACGGTATGTGACGGTGTGTGATGGTATGTGATGGTGTGTGATGGTGTGTGATGGTATGTGATGGTATGTGATGGTATGTGATGGAGTGTGATGGTATGTGATGGTGTGTGATGGTATGTGATGGTATGTGATGGTATGTGATGGTGTGTGATGGTATGTGATGGTATGTGATGGTATGTGATGGAGTGTGATGGTATGTGATGGTGTGTGATGGTATGTGATGGTATGTGATGGTATGTGATGGAGTGTGATGGTATGTGATGGTGTGTGATGGTATGTGATGGTGTGTGATGGTGTGTGATGGTGTGTGATGGTATGTGATGGTATGTGACGGTATGTGACGGTATGTGATGGTGTGTGATGGTATGTGATGGTATGTGATGGTGTGTGATGGTATGTGATGGTATGTGATGGTGTGTGATGGTATGTGATGGTGTGTGATGGTGTGTGATGGTATGTGATGGTATGTGATGGTATGTGATGGAGTGTGATGGTATGTGATGGTGTGTGATGGTATGTGATGGTGTGTGATGGTGTGTGATGGTGTGTGATGGTATGTGATGGTGTGTGATGGTATGTGACGGTATGTGATGGTGTGTGATGGAGTGTGATGGTATGTGATGGTGTGTGATGGTATGTGACGGTATGTGATGGTATGTGACGGTATGTGATGGTGTGTGATGGAGTGTGCGGTTGGAATTGTGTTTCATGTTTTAGTTCAGCTCTCAATTTGAAGTGAAAAAGAGATAACATTTAAATTGCCACCTTAATGTTGAAGGAGTTACCAAGTAAAGGGTTTGAATTGGCTCATATAAATATATGTAGTCTAAGAAATAAAGTGTCTGAGATAGAGGACATATTATAGAATAGAATAGAGAGGGATGAAACCCTCTTTAATGGTCACACATGCAGAGCACACAGCACACAGTGAAATTTGGCCTCTGCTTTTAACCCATCCTAGTACAAGGAGTCTAGTACTAGGAGCAGTGGGCAGCTATTGTACAGCGCCCGGGGAGCAATGGGAGTGGGGGGGGAAGGGGGGTGTCCGGTGCCTTGCTCAAGGGCACCACGGCAGGGCAGGAGGTGAACTGGGACCTCTCCAAGTAGCAGTCCACACTCCATATTTAGGTCTGGTCGGGGACTTGAACCAGCGACCCTACGGCTCCCAGTCCAAGCCCCTACTGACTGAGCCACTGCCATCACACTATCATGTGGTATTCATTTGTTAGCGATATCTGAACCTCACTGAGATGGCACATGTGATGACGCTGCACATTGATGGATATAGAATATTTAGAAAGGAGTGCAGACGGAGGGGGGGGGGGGCATTCAAAAGCAAACACCAGCTGAAGTGAGAGAGGGTTTGAGGTCTGCTGATATTGAAGTACTTCATTGACCTCACTTGAAACCTTTGTTGGTCGGATGTTGTTACAGACCTCCAAATGCAAACCTCACTTATTTAGACAAATGATGTGAGAAGTTAGATAAAGTTTGTGATCTTGAGATTTAAACATTGACTGGAATATGTTGCACTGTGCCCTTAAACACAAGCTGCAGACAATAACTAATACATGTCCCTTGGTACAAAGGGTGACTCAACCTACTGGGATACGCATTCATTTCATTTCATTTCAAACCTTTATTTATCCAGGTTGTATCCCATTGAGATCATTGACCTCTTTTTCAAGGGAGACCTGCTCAAGTAGGTTCCACATGAAACATTAAAACATAAACAGAGCAACAAAAGGACATCATACAGCATCATTACAGGGATTACAGTTTACATAACTATCCACATGCACAGGTACCAACAGCTTCCGATTCAGTAGCATCCAACCGAGCTTTAAAAACATGTAGTGGCACCAGATTGCTCAGTTTCCATTTTAATTGCAGACTATTCCAGGACAGTGGAGCTGCGCATCTAAATGCTATCTTCCCTAAGACAGTCCTAGCAGTTGGCACATTTAATAAAACCATAGCATGCGATCTCAGGCAGTAGCCACTTACAATTCGCCGTGAGATCAGGGAGCAGATGTAGGATGGAAGTTTCCCTAACATGGCTTTATATATAAAAATGTACCAGTGACTGAGCCTCCGTACAGTTAGTGAAGGCAGACCAGCCCTTGCATACAGGGTACAGTGATGAGTTAATGCTTTACAGTTTGTCACAAGTCTCAGTGCGCTGTGATACGCAGCATCTAACTTGACCAGGTAATGGGCAGGTGCATTCATATAGACCAGATCACCATAGTCCAGCACAGGTCAAAAGGTCACAGAGCCTTTTTCTGGCCTCAAGTGAGAAACAGGACTTGTTCCTGTAGAAGAAACCTAGCCTAACCCTCAGTTTGTTAAGCAGGTTATTGACCTGACGTTTAAAAGAGAGACAATCATCAAGCCAGATACCAAGGTATTTGTAACAGGCTTTAGAAAAGAGCATTACCTTGGTTTTCTCAACATTTAAAAGAAGCTTTAGTTCAGAGAGCTGAGTCTGAATAATGTTAAAAACAGCCTGTAATTTAACACCAGCCTCCTTAATGGAGGGACCTGCACAGTACATCACGGTATCATCCGCATAAAAATGTAAAGTAGCTTCATCCACATTTTCACCTAAACTATTGATGTAGATGGAGAATAAAAGTGGACCTGAAACAGAACCTTGAGGAACACCATTAGCAATGTTTAACCACTCTGAAGACAGCCCATCAAAGTGAACACATTGGGACCTTTCAGAGAGGTAGTTCACAAACCACCCACTGCATGGCTGGATAAGCCAATACTGAGTAGCCTCTGCTTTAAGATGCGATGATCGACGGTATCAAACGCTTTGGACAGGTCAATAAATAGAGCTGCACAGCTCTGCTTTTTATCTAAAATACTTGTAATGTCATTCACCACTTTCATTGTGGCAGTGATGGTGCTATGTTGCTTTCTGAAACCTGACTGATGTTTAGACAGGATGTCATTGTTACATAGAAACACCTTTACCTGCTCACTCACTAGGCGTTCAAGAACCTTAGCCACAACTGATCATTTAGAGATTGGCCTATAGTTATTTAAAACAGTTGGCTCCCCTCCTTTCAGCAAAGGCAGGACATACGCTGACTTCCATACTTTAGGAATTGTATTTGTGCTGAGGGAGAGGTTAAAAAGAGAAGTGAGAGGTGGAGCAATACAATCTGCAGCTATCTTTAAAAAGAAAGGTTCCACGTTGTCCGGGCCGGCCGGTTTCTTAGGATCTAACTTAGATAAAGCTTCATGAACAACATTTACAGTAAAAGGAGTAAAACTGAAAGTGTTTTCCAGAGCACATTGTTCAGAGTCACAGACTGTGGTGTTCACAGAAGCAGAGTTAGTCACAGAATCAAACAGAGAGCCACAGGACACAACATGCTCATTAAAGCAATGTAACATGGTGGCCCTGTCCGATATAGAGCCAGATGCTGTGGTAAGGCACGGAGGTAGCTCATTACGGATCTCACCGGTGGATAAAGATTTTATGGCTTCAGGTTTTCTGTAGTAACTGACAAATAGTACTTAGACTTAGCACTTTTGACATGTGAAGTGAAGCTATTCCTGAGCTGCCTAAAACACAGCCATTCTACCTCTGAGCCTGATTTCCTAGCCTTTGCCCATTGCGCATTAACTTGCAACTTGTATTGATCATATATTTACTAACTTTAGCCATGTGTGTTCTCTTATATCACTTCCAGCAGGGTGTACTGATCATCATGTAGTCATTAGAGAGAGAAAGACAAAGGTGCCGAAAGCTGGACTGAAAGTCATTGTGAGATCAATGACATACTTTTGTGAGGAGTCATTTCTACAGGATGATCAGAAGATATGTTGGAAACATGTTTTTGAGAAAGTCGATCCAGATGCTCTTGATGTCTTGAATTAGTTATCCATGCAGGTGATTGATAAGCATGCTCCACTTAGAGAGTACACAAAATGGAGTCCACTATGGGCCGAAACTAACATGTATGTTTCCATAGTGTTTGTAGCGGATTGCAAACAACTTTAAGGTGCATACCGCCACCTACTGTACTCGCCGTGAAGTGGTTTGCGGCCTGCCAGTAAAGCCAAAGCAGAAGAAGAAGAAGTGACGTCAGCGGCTCATTTGCGTAATCTTCCCTCAGGGAAAAGTACTCCGGTGTGAACGTGATCTGTACTAAGTGCCCTGGGGTAAAAAGCGCCGGGGCACTGAGTGCCAGAACTAAGTACTGGAAAGTACTTGGTGTGAACGCGCCTAATGAGCATTCTTTGTTGTTACACAAGCTGGAACAAGATGGTTTTAATGTTGAAACGCTGAGGTGGTTAGAAAGTCACCTGACCAATCAAAGACAAACTGGTTTCTTTAATGGAAGTCTCTCAAAGATGAAAACAGTCACTTGTACTGATACAGCACTGTGTGTGTGTGTGTGTGTGTGTGTGTGTGTGTGTGTGTGTGTGTGTGTGTGTGTGTGTGTGTGTGTGTGTGTGTGTGTGTGTGGACCCCAGGAAGAATAGCCCATGCTCATGCTAGTGCTAATGGGGATCCTAATAAAGACATATAGCAGCTACTGTGAAACAGGAAGTGGTACTGACCAGGCTCCGCCCCCGAGGGTAGACTCGGATGTGACCTCTGACCCGCAGCGCTCTCTGAAGCCCCTCCCACTGAGAATCAGCCAATCCCAGCAGAGCACGAACCTGAGCACCTGAGAACCAGACGTGAGCCTCACCTGTGCCGTCATCAATCACCAGCCTGAAAACACAGGTACACACAGGTGAGTACTCAGGTGAGTACACAGGTACACACAGGTGAGTACACAGGTAAGTACACAGGTACACACAGGTGAGTACTCAGGTACACACAGGTGAGTACTCAGGTGAGTACACAGGTACACACAGGTGAGTACACAGGTAAGTACACAGGTACACACAGGTGAGTACACAGGTAAGTACACAGGTACACACAGGTGAGTACTCAGGTGAGTACACAGGTACACACAGGTGAGTACTCAGGTACACACAGGTGAGTACTCAGGTGAGTACACAGGTACACACAGGTGAGTACACAGGTAAGTACACAGGTACACACAGGTGAGTACACAGGTAAGTACACAGGTACACACAGGTGAGTACTCAGGTGAGTACACAGGTACACACAGGTGAGTACTCAGGTGAGTACACAGGTACACACAGGTGAGTACACAGGTGAGTACTCAGGTACACACAGGTGAGTACACAGGTAAGTACACAGGTACACACAGGTGAGTACACAGGTAAGTACACAGGTACACACAGGTGAGTACTCAGGTGAGTACACAGGTGAGTACACAGGTACACACAGGTGAGTACACAGGTAAGTACACAGGTACACACAGGTGAGTACACAGGTAAGTACACAGGTACACACAGGTGAGTACTCAGGTGAGTACACAGGTACACACAGGTGAGTACTCAGGTACACACAGGTGAGTACTCAGGTGAGTACACAGGTACACACAGGTGAGTACACAGGTAAGTACACAGGTACACACAGGTGAGTACACAGGTAAGTACACAGGTACACACAGGTGAGTACTCAGGTGAGTACACAGGTACACACAGGTGAGTACTCAGGTGAGTACTCAGGTACACACAGGTGAGTACACAGGTGAGTACACAGGTACACACAGGTGAGTACACAGGTGAGTACTCAGGTACACACAGGTGAGTACACAGGTAAGTACACAGGTACACACAGGTGAGTACACAGGTAAGTACACAGGTACACACAGGTGAGTACACAGGTAAGTACACAGGTGCACACAGGTGAGTACTCAGGTACACACAGGTGAGTACTCAGGTACACACAGGTGAGTACTCAGGTACACACAGGTGAGTACTCAGGTAAGTACACAGGTACACACAGGTAAGTACTCAGGTACACACAGGTAAGTACTCAGGTACACACAGGTGAGTACTCAGGAACACACAGGTGAGTACACAGGTAAGTACTCAGGTACACACAGGTAAGTATTCAGGTACACACAGGTGAGTACTCAGGTACACACAGGTGAGTAATCAGGTAACTAAACAGGTAACTACACAGGTAAATACTGAGGTAAGTACTCAGTAACTACACAGGTAAATACTCAGGTAACTACACAGGTAAATACTCAGGTAAGTACTCAGTAACTACACAGGTAAATACTCAGGTAAGTACTCAGTAACTACACAGGTAAATACTCAGGTAACTACACAGGTAAATACTCAGGTAAGTACTCAGTAACTACACAGGTAAATACTCAGGTGAGTACTCAGTAACTACACAGGTAAATACTCAGGTAAGTACTCAGTAACTACACAGGTAAATACTCAGGTAAGTACTCAGTAACTACACAGGTAAATACTCAGGTAACTACACAGGTAAATACTCAGGTAAGTACTCAGTAACTACACAGGTAAATACTCAGGTAAGTACTCAGTAACTACACAGGTAAATACTCAGGTGAGTACTCAGTAACTACACAGGTAAATACTCAGGTAAGTACTCAGTAACTACACAGGTAAATACTCAGGTAAGTACTCAGTAACTACACAGGTAAATACTCAGGTAAGTACTCAGTAACTACACAGGTAAATACTCAGGTAAGTACTCAGTAACTACACAGGTAAATACTCAGGTAAATACTCAGGTAACTACACAGGTAAATACTCAGGTAAGTACTCAGTAACTACACAGGTAAATACTCAGGTAAGTACTCAGTAACTACACAGGTAAATACTCAGGTAAATACTCAGGTAAGTACTCAGTAACTACACAGGTAAATACTCAGGTAAATACTCAGGTAAGTACTCAGTAACTACACAGGTAAATACTCAGGTAAATACTCAGGTAAGTACTCAGTAACTACACAGGTAAATACTCAGGTAAATACTCAGGTAACTACACAGGTAAATACTCAGGTAAGTACTCAGTAACTACACAGGTAAATACCGAGTAAATACATGTACACACACACAGGTAAATACTCAGGTGTACACAGGTAGAGGAGGAGCAGTCTTACTTCACTGTGGACTGAAAGACAGACGAGGAGGATCCACACTGAGCGCTGGAACAACACTGAGAGACACAGAGGACAGTTACTGTTACCACCTGTTCACATAACACCTCACCTGTTCACATAACACCTCACCTGTTCACATAACACCTCACCTGTTCATATAACACCTCACCTGTTCACCTCACCTGTTCTTATAACACCTCACCTGTTCTTATAACACCTCACCTGTTCATATAACACCTCACCTGGTCTTATAACACCTCACCTGTTCTTATAACACCTCACCTGTTCATATAACACCTCACCTGTTCTTACAACACCTCACCTGTTCTTATAACACCTCACCTGTTCATATAACACCTCACCTGTTCATATAACACCTCACCTGTTCTTATAACACCTCACCTGTTCTTATAACACCTCACCTGTTCTTTTAACACCTCACCTGTTCATATAACACCTCACCTGTTCTTATAACACCTCACCTGTTCATATAACACCTCACCTGTTCTTATAACACCTCACCTGTTCATATAACACCTCACCTGTTCTTATAACACCTCACCTGCTCATATAACACCTCACCTGTTCTT